ACCCCACATTCAAACATGATAAAATCTAATGGATTTTCCTGCAGCAGAGGCAACATGCGAGACCTATCCACCAATCTCTAGAAAGATGAAGGATGAGACAGCTTCCCCCATGGGGTCTGTTGTGTGCTCCAGAGAAGTTGGCTTCGGGCAAGGCCAAAAGCAAAGAGTTCAGGGGAAAGCCGTTTTTAAGAAGCATTTCCCAGGTCCTTGTTCGCTTCCCACAAGACTTGGAGGCTTTTGGTAGCGGTACCTTGGCCCGCAGAGCAGACTCCTCAGTGCCCCAAGCGATCAGGAACATTGGGAGGCTCTTGACCCCAGCGCTGCCTCAGCCAGGTTACTTCCTCAGTGCTGTGACCTGGAGCACCAAGATCTGAGGCAGGGGTGCGCCCAAGAATGTTTTTTGGCTCAAATTTTCGCGCTGCCACTCTGTAGTACTCACACCCCAAACTCAGCTCAGTAGCTCAGATACCAGTTGCACTTGCAGCCTCCCTCTTGATAGTAGTTCCAGTCCATCCTGGTGACCTTGGACCCTGTAGGACTCCTTTTGCCCTAAGGCTTTGACACTCTTTCTGGAGCTGTCTGCATGTGAGTCTTTGAATTCCAAGACCAGGACTAAAAGTTATCTTGCATTTATTCATGGAGATTGTGTCCTCCTTATTTGTTTTTATCTCTTAGGACAGATTCTGGAGGTAGGCTACCCCGCAGAAGAAACCTAGGCTATATTGCATTGCTAGACCTGACTTCCCTGCTTAGGCCTTGGTCTGGTCTCTCTTCTCAGCTGTCAGAGCCCACTGGGGCAGCCTGGCTGTTCCCAGCTGTTTTGGTGCTCTCAGCAAGGACAGACAGTGAAAATGAGGTTGCATTTAGTGGAACAGAAAGTCTCTTATAACCCGTTTGTAGAAGAAACAGATCAGTGCCCAAGAGCTGCAGGGTAGCTGGCTTGTTTCCTTCAGGATATTCATCAGTGCAGTAGGTACATGTTGATGGTAACAGCCTGACAGGGTTTACTCTGCTCTCAAGATACAGCTTGACACAGCAGCAGCTGTTGGCAAGAGCACCTAAGGCCACCATGTGCACTGTTGTCTTACTGTGTTCTTTGGTGCTTTACCTGAAGGGGACTGCAGATGAGGAACAGAGGCTCGTGGATGTTTATTTTCTTCTGTTGTCATAAATTCCCAGTTGGGCCAACTGTATCATTGACTGCTTCTCCCGTGAGAACAGCCATTCAGACAGATGCTTCAGCCACTTACGCCTCTGTGACTGTGCAGTGGACACCAGTTTTCATTTCCCTGCCTTCCAGAGGAGCAATGTCAAAGAAATCCTTCCTCCAGCTTTACATGGAGCAGCATCATTCTCCCTGCTACAACCAGGGGCTCGGTGACACTAGGGAGCCAGAAGCACCAGAGAAACCTGTCCCTGTGGTGACAGAGTCCCAGCTACCCTCCAGCAGAGCGAACCTTGCGCTGGTCTGTTCAGGGGGTTGGGGTGTCGTTCAGCCAAGGTGAAGATTTCGTGCTGCTAGTGCTGCCCTGGCTGCAGTGTTGCTCAGTCCCCCTTATGGCAGAGATTCAGCAACAGTTGGTAGCGTTACAGGTTTTCATGTGTCGTATTGGAGACAACAATGGAAGACACTGAGTTAAGACAGCTCTTGAGTGGGAGATATAAGAAAATGTTCTCTGAAGAGGGAGGAGCTGACCTAGTTCAGGCTTGTAACAGCAAGGCCCAGGCACGGTGCTGATGGTGTCACTCACGGGTGTAACTGCCATCTTCTCTTTCTCCAGGGGCTGGCGTGGCTCTGCTGAATGACCATATTTATGTAGTTGGTGGGTTCGATGGGACAGCACACCTCTCCTCCGTGGAAGCCTATAATATTCGCACTGATTCCTGGACAACTGTAACAAGCATGACAACCCCCCGCTGTTACGTGGGGGCCACGGTGCTGCGGGGAAGGCTGTATGCAATCGCTGGGTAAGCGGCTGCCCTGGGCTGGAGAGGGAGATGCCCTGTGTCTGCTGGAGCAAGTGAGCTGAGGTGACGCAGCCTGCTGCTCTGGTTCAGCTGGCCTCTCCTCGCATTTACATTTCAAGCCTTACGAGAGAAGACAGCTCGCAGAGCCGCCGTGCCCAGCCTCGGTAGGAAGCGTGATGGTCCAGGGCCAAGACAGGCAGGAGAGTGGCAGCAGACAGCAAAAGGGAGCCTAACACATTGCTTTCATTTCAGGCCATTCCTGCTGCACACAGCTGTCCCGCCTCCCAGGGAGGGCTCTGAACGCCCCAAACTCTTCCTCCTGCAGCACCCCTCACCTGTAGCTTTCTGTCCTTGCAGATACGATGGCAACTCACTGCTGAGCAGCATTGAGTGCTATGATCCCATCATTGACAACTGGGAAGTGGTAACCTCCCTGGGGATGCAGCGCTGTGATGCTGGAGTCTGCGTCCTGCGGGAGAAGTGATCTGGAGGGAACTTACAAAGAAGAACATCCTAAAAAGGCTCGGCTGGAGGAAGAGTCCCAAGTGATTTGCAGTGACTGTTCTTGAGAGTTGTGGATGCTGTGGAAATAGGCACCAGAACAGCAGCTTTCTGTGCTGCTTTCGACTGGAGCATGTGCATAAATGTGTTATCTCGGCAGTCATTTGAAATCAGGGTCTCTGTGTGAAGCTGGAGAGAGCTGATAAAGTAGGTCAGGAGAAGCTGCATTCTCTGCTGTTCCTGTGGCTAAGTCTGTCGGCAGAGCAGAGATGCCCCCAGCCTTGGCATCAGCTAGCCTGGTGAATGCTTCCAGGGACATGTACATACAACTGGGCGGTCTCCTCAGCCACTGCAGGTTGCTCTCAGCCACGTGGATGTGTGAGGATGAACCCAGCTGCTCTTATGTTCCAGCTTCAAATCATCTTGTACATACTGAATGTTCAGACATGCTCCTCAAGCGCACATCAGTGCAGAGCCAAATTGAGTGAGCATGTGTAAGGGGGTCCTGCACTGTAGCTGTGTCTGCAGGTTCCTCACAGGTCTGCACACAAAAGGAGTCACGGACTAAAGCTGTCAACTACTGAGACCCAAAAGCCTGAGGCTGCAGGGGGCAGAGGGCAGGGGGAAGAGCTCGTTGCCTGGTGTAGAAGCAGGTCTGCAGCATTTGTGCTCTGATCACGGGGCTCAGCAAGGTTCATCACATCATATTCTCCTCAAAATGCTCGAAAGACCCAGCTGCAAAGTGCTGCGTTTTCTGGCAGCAAGAGCCTTGCTGTGATGCAGCAGTGCCTGCTCCCACCCCTGTGGGGAGGTCATCTTGCAGGGACTGAAGCCCTGGGAGTAGGGACACAAGTGCTACTATCCACAGAGATCTTGCTGGTGAGTGACTTGGGCTTCATCCCTGGACAGTCCTCTGTCCAGCACACCCACGTCAGCTTTTCAGGCAAGTTCATTGTGTTGATTTTCCTTTTATCTAGGATTTTTCTGCTTCCAGGGCCATTTTGGAGTGACATCCAGGATTCTGATCTGCCCTTTGTTCTAAGTTGTTTATTCCCCTGCCTTGTAACTCCACATCCTCTTACACTAGCTACCCTTCACCTGCCCCACAAACCCCAAGTGAGAGCTTCATCACTGGCTCACTAGAGCACTCTCTCCTCAGCATGTCTCCTGCCTTGCTCCGTCTCTGGGAGCATGGGCTCCCCTCCGCCATCAGCTTGGCCCCCGCAGTGCCTGGGCTCTGTGTAGTGCTGCTCGTTGAGCTTACTGCTGACTCCTTGCTTGGGGGACAGGGTGGGATCAGGGACGTGGTAGCATGACTTAATTATGCACTTTCAGCCAACGCTCTGACCTTCTGCGTTTGTTTCTGTCACACAAGTGTTCTGTGGTTTTGTTTCCTATGTTTATTTTTTAATGAAAATATAAATAAAATATTTCCTGAGCCAGTGGGAATTGAGCTTCTGTTCTCTACCTTCAAGCCATTTGTCTAACTAGTGGTGGGGGGAGTATCTACAAACCCTGTGTTACACGGGCATCCACCGTCAGCTGTGCCTCTGCCCTGCAGCTTCAGTGTGGTAGTAAAAACTGCTCCATCTGTTTTGATTCACAGCAAAAAAACGATCAGGCCTGGAGCACTTGCTAACTGGGGGTGAATTCATTGCAAGATCTGCTTGAGAAGAGTGTGGCAGCAGAGATGAGGGAAAACTGTGATAATACTGTTACAAAGGAGCCTGCAGTTGCAAGAGGATAACACCTCATTTGTCCACCGTGGAAATGTGGGATGCACGTAGCCTAGAATTAATTTGTCTGTCAGTGGTGTGGCTACAAAATACCCTCCTGGTTTCCCTCTTCAAAACCTTCTGTTAATCTCAAGGCAAACAGCAACGTCCTGCCCCCGCAGCCTTGAGGACTTGGTGCTCTCCCCACTGCCTGGTCCCCCAGCAAACACCCGTTATTCTGGAGTGCCGACCTCGAGCCTCCCCTGACACGTCTCCCTCAGGATGAACTCTGTCACTCTCACCGGGGAGAAGTATGTGAGAAACCACAAAGGTAAAAGGCCCATATGGGAGAGCACAGTACTGGCGAGGAAGCACTCTGTTAAAGGAGACTCGAACTCCGTCGTGGGTTACTCTAGGATTTTATTCAGGTCCAGCAGCGTTGGGTCACCTCCGCAGAGAGTGACAGCTTACATGAGTTCGCATACATGTATTTATGCACCTACAAAGCATTACCTAATCCAGAATACACAGAATTATACTTTATCAGTCATTATTATCTTGACAGTGGGTTCCACATCTTGTTCTGGAGTCCGACTACTTCGTTGTTTTGTTTCTTTCTTTTAGTCTTCAAGGATGATGACCTCAAGTTCTGTACGTCTCAGTTCTTAGTAGTCACAATGATAGATCTCCCATCGCCTCGGTAGCTAAGGGTCAGTTTCTCATACATCAACATCCTTTGAACTGTCAGGCCCATCATTACCTTTGTTACAACATTTTATTGATGCTCTATTCAGTTGACTGTGCTTGCAGCCCTGGGCTGGGGCCATACAGGGGACAGAGCTGATAGAACAGCTTGTGCAGCAGCACTGCATTGCAACATTTTCCCAACAACTCACTGATTGCATACGGGGCTCCGGCTCAGCCCGGGCAGCTCTGACACCTGCAGGGACACGGGCACACAGCGGGGAGTTTCAAGGCTCCGGTACCAGACCTGGTGCTGGCAGAAGCTCCTCCTCCCCCTCCCTGACCAGCCCTGCTCTCCTGCAAAGGCCTTAGAGAGGGTTCAGCTCCATAAGTGATTAGTCCTGAAAAAAAAAATAGCCAGTGTGTAGGTCTGCTGAAGCTCAGCAGACAGAACCAGCGCCAGCAGGACATGACCCCATGACAACAGCCAGCAGCCCCATCGCTGCCTTTCCAGGACAAGATACACTGAAGGGTTTGAAGAGGAATTGGTGTTCCCAGCTAGATAATGAACAATATAAATCTTCAAAACTGTCTGCATCTGTGTCTAGCTGGAGATGAGAAAACTTACAGGCTACTGTTGAAGGTAAAATAAAGGGTCAAAATGTTCTGCTTGAAAAGAAGCTGGTATTGATGCTCACAGACCAGTAAGAGTGAAGCTCTCTGCTTCACGAATAATCTGAGAAGATACCAAAATACAGAATTAAGCATGAATTTTCAGCACCAGACAGCTCCTATCAAAAAATGTTGAGTTAAAAATTGGCCAAAGATCCCACTAGTAGCTTTTTATTTCTTGAGAAGGTCCAGAGGACTGTAACAAAGACATGCACCACACCAGCAACCAGCCCTAACCAACTAGTCCAGCTCAGCGCAGCCTTGCCTGGCTGGGAGGTGGCAGTGTAGCGTTGTGCCATTCAACGGGCATTTACGGGCACTGGAACCTGCCAGGAAAGCTTCACGTCAAGTTAATTTGACTGGCATGTGGTACTGTCGTGGTTTGAGCCCAGAGGGCAACTGAGCACCACACAGCCGCTTACTCGCCCCTTCCCCCACAGTGCTGGGAAGGAAAAAATGAAGCAAAAGGCTCGAGAATCATGACAAGGACAGGGAGGGTGGCTCACCCATTATAGTCACAGGCAAGAGACTTGTTAGGGGAAAAAAAAAGAACGTCACTTTAATTCAAACACTAACATTACTTAACATACAATTTGGGACAGTGAGAAATGCCCTCGCATCCAGAAAACACCTCCCCCACCCCTCCCTTCTTCCCAGGCTCAGCTCTGCCCCCAGTCTCTCTACCTCCTCCCCGCCTCAGCAGCGCAGGGGGCAGGGGATGGGGGTTACAGTCAGTTCTCTGCTCCCTCCTCCTCGGGAGGGGGACACTCCTTGCATTCTCCCCTGCTTCAGCATGCCTCCCCTCTCACACGAGACAGCCCTCCATGAACCTTCTCTGATGTGATGGTCCTTCCCAAGGGCTGCAGCCATTCCCACGCTGCCCCAGCGTGGCTCACCCCCACGTGTTGCCGTCCTCCCAGCACCGAACTACAACAGCGGGAGCCGCTTCTCCCCTCAGAGTCCCGGCCCCCTTTAAGCACAGATGCCTGTCCTGGCGTGGGCTCCTCCACAGGCTGCAGGTCGGCCTCTGCTCCACCAGTGACCTCCATGGGTGACAGCGGGGGCGGCCCTGTCATCTCCCCGTGGGATACAGGGGGGCTCTGCTCTGCTGTGGCTGCCCCCCCTTCCTCCTCCTTCTTCCCATTGACCTCGGTGTTCATACCCGTGTCCTTCTTGTAACTCCTCCTCACAAGCCCAAACCCCCTCCCAGGTTCCCCTTCTTAAATACATTATCACAGAGGCACAACCACCATTGTTGATTGGCTCAGCCCTGGCCAGAGGTGGGGCTGACTTGGAGCCGGGGCAGCTTTGAGAAGCTACTGACAGGGGCCACTGCTGCAGCCCATACACTACTACCCCTGCTACCAAACCCCCCACACACAAACCCAGCACAGGTATCCAGGTACATGTTGATGCAACACTGTTAGCTTTCGACTTGCAGCCTGCAAGGACTTTATCCAAGCCAGGCAAAGGGTTTACTTTTCTCTCCCCCCAACCCAACCAGGATCTTGCTCCTTACTACTGATTGTGTTACCATTTAAATTAGCATGTGCACACTTAATACAATCAAGCTGAAGCCCTACAAACACATTACTTCATGTCATGCTACAATCGGATCAGAGAGGCAAGGCCCTTTGTTTCATGCCTCCTCCACACAGCAAATGTGTGAGCAGGCGCAGCACGTCCCTTGGCTGGTCACCGGAGGCAGAAGTGACCTGCTGGGAGGCTCCGAAGTTCTGGAGGAAGATAAGCAAAACCGAAGCAGACTCTCACTGCTTGGGTGCCTTTGAGGCAGCACGGGCTGCCTGGCTCCTGGGACACAGCGCACTCCTTGAGCAGGGACAGAGCCACAGCTCCTGGGCACCTTCATTCTGGGCTGTTTTTATAAAAGCAGTGTTTGCACTTACACAAGAAGAAATCACGGAACTGAAGAATAATTTTGGTTGGGAAAGGCCATCTGGCAGTCTGTAATCCTGCTTGGAGGATCGGATTTCTCAGGACCTTGTTCCATTCAGCACATACTATTTCCAGGCTCGGGGATCCCGTGACTTCTCTGAGCCCCTGAGCTGCTCTGGCTGCAGAGCAGATCTGAATGTCTGTCACCAGCCGTTGCTGGGCACCACCTGTTTCTGCAGGAAACTCCTGCAGTGTGGCAGCAGGGAACTGCTGAACTGCACCAAAGCCTATGTGAGGACACATCTCTGTCAACGGGAGATGCAGCAACTTGTCAGTGCAACCTCCTCTACAGATAAACACGCTGCCTGCGCCCAGCGTTTCACAGCAGCAAAGCTGAACAAAACTGCTCAGGGTGGGATTTGGAGGCAGCAGGACTGAAGACATGTAGAAACAGCCTCTTTGTTCCCTGCAGCATTCCAGCACAGCCCAGCCGAGCCCCTCTCACCGCTCTGCAGGGTAAGCCACTGTACCATAGTGAGGACAGGACAAAGTCTCAGCCCTTCCAGCTCACCGAGCCACAGGGCTGTGCCAGTCACTGCCAAACCGCGGCAGGGCTGCGGGTGCAGTGTCCATCTCCGCACAACTCCTCAGTGAACAGACACCCTGGCTCCTGCTCGGCCACCAGGCAAACTGGTTTGCCTCTTTCAAGCAAATCATGACCTTTCTGCAGTTGGTTTGTGCAACTGGTTTTTGAGCAGCGGGTATTGATGAGCTTCACAGCTCCCTTACTGCATCCGCTCCCCTGTCGATTCCGGAAGCCCCGCTCTGGCTCCCCAGCATGCACCCAGAGATGTCTCAGGAGTTCCACTGCCCCACACGCTGTTTCTGCCTTACAGACACCAACCTGCTTCACAGGACTGTGGGGTTTGTCTACCAGCCACACTCACCTGGCAGCTGGCGGCAGGAAGCAGAGCCGAGAGCAGCGATGCAGCATTCAAGACTGCAAATGAAATCCTGCACCTTTATTTAGCACTGTGAACATCAGTTCCCATTTCTGGATTCTCCTGAGAGTTTTGGGGAGCAGCCAGCTGCAAAACAGCAAGGTAGCAGGAGAATGGTGTTTAGTTACAGTAAAAGGTCTGGAAAAAGCAAGAACCAGGGCTCTGCTGGGATCTGGTTTACCCACTAAAGAAATAGTGGCTACAATCAACAGGCCTGCTTCAATCCTTCCAACAGTGCTAACAGCCAGCCGCTAGCAGCAGGTCCTGAGATGAGCACAAAGTCACAGTGCCTCAACAGTGCCCAGTGAAGAGCAAGCCCAGAGTCACCTGGGCCCCAGGACCTCATCTCCAGCACTGCTGCCTGTAAGCACTGGCCCAGCCTCATGCTTTTCCCAGACTCCTCAGGGTCTGGCTGAAATCTGCTTTCCTCTTCTGGAAAACGTTTTGGTCCCAATGACAGCACCTTGCCCATTTCAGTGCACTCTTCCTTCCCCATTTTTTAGGATGTTCCCTCTGTACTAAGCAGCTAAACGAACTGCTGTGCACTGCAGGAAAGAGCACAGCCTAGGCAGGCTCTCAGAAATGCTGATGAAATCACCACACACCAAATACGTGCAGCAGCTTCACAGAGAGACGATCCCTCTTTGTCCAGCATCAGCTGAGCTCTGCTTTCTCTGAGGCTCTAACAGAAGCCGAGCATCACCACAGACCCATGCCCGGGAAGCGACCGTCCCCGATGGGCCCAACCGGCAGGCAGGCAGACGTTTGCTGCCAACTGTCCCCTAGCAGCTTGCGGAGTCGCCTGGTTCCACGCAGGGATCCCCCACACCGCGCGGGTGCTCAGCTGCGCCGCCGCCGCCGCCCCCCCCCCCCCCCAGTCCCCTCAGGCAGCGCTGGCCTGGCAGGAGGCCCGGGACCGCTCCAACCTCGCTGTTCCGCGGCGGGGCGGCGGCTCCCGCGCCCGGTGGCACTGAAGGACGGGCGGCAAGGGCTCCGTACCGGGGCGGGGGGGGGGGGGGGGGGGGGGGGTGTGTGTGTGGATATCGCCGGGCCGCGACCCGGAGCGAACCTCGGCGAACGCCCGCAACCGCCATGCCAGCCCTTAGCACCGCGCATGCGCACCGCGCCGCCCAACGTCACCGCCTCGACCCCGCCCCCGCGGCGGCGGCCAGCGCGCCTGCGCGGCGATGGCGGCGGCCTGCGCTGAGATGGAGCCGGCGGCGGCGGCGGCACCTCCTCCCTCCCCTCCTCCTCCTCTTGCCGCCGCGCCGGGCTCGGCCGAGCTGGTGTGCGCGCAGGGCCGGAACACAAAAGCGGTGCTGTGCCAGCGCTGCGGGTCGCGGGTGCTGCTGCCCGGCGCCGCCACCTTCGCCCGCCGTGAGGTACTAGGAGGCGGCGGGGGCGGGGGGGGAACTGAGAGGGACGATGCGGGGGGGGGGGGGGCGGAGCTGAGAGGGGGGCGGAGCTGAGAGGGGGCGGAGCTGAGGGGGGGGCGGAGCTGAGAGGGGGGCGGAGCTGAGAGGGGGCGGAGCGGGGGGGAGGGAGAGAGAGGCACCGCCCGCGGGCGGGGCGGGGCGCGGGCGCCCCCTGCCGGCGGGGTGGTGACGCTGTGTCTCCCGCAGCTCCGCCTGCCCGCCATGAGGAAGAAGGCGGCGGCGGCGGCGGCGGTTGGCGGCGGGGACGTGGTGCGGGAGCACTGGCTGGTGCGCGACATGTTCTCCTTCGAGAACGTGGGCTTCACCCGCGACGTGGGCAACGTCAAGTTCCTGGTGTGCGCCGACTGCGAGGCGGGGCCCATCGGCTGGCACTGCCTGGATGACAAGGATAGCTTCTACGTGGCGTTGGAACGTGTGGCCCATGAGTGACACCGGCGCTGCCGCCCGGGCCGGGGACAGCGGTGAGGGTCCTGGGGAGCCGGGCTCGGCCACCGGCAACCCCACCTACCCTGCTGCCTGACGGGCTGGGCCCGAGCTCGGCGTGGCCACCCCGCAGCCGGGCCCGGTGGCGACCCGTGGCCCAGCTGCCCTGCACCCAACTGACCACGGCCAGACAGCTACAGCCCAGCCGGCTGCCCCGCAGCCCAGATCCACGGACTGACCGGCACCAAGAAGCGCAGCACCGACAGCCAGCTCCTCGCCTGAGCCCCGGTGGGAAGGATGTCACTGGTGGGAGGGTCCCCCGTGACCCGCAGGGACAGCTCACCAGGGCAGTTTCGCCACACAGCTCGATCTGCCACTGTCTGACTGCTCGCTCTCACTTCTTCCTCGTGTGGCTGCTGTTTTTCAGGTGTGCAGACGTCTTTCAGATGATGTCTTTAGGACTGATCAATTTGTGACACAGCCATGTCAGTGTGGGTGCTGGCACAAGGGCATGGGGAGGACAGGACTGCTGCACTGAATCATCTTGGCAGCTTGTCTGAACTACAGCCAAAGCAGTTACAGGGTTTAAGGCTGCATCTTCTGTTGATTTTCAGAAGAAATGTTCCCTGCCCCAAACCCTAACATTTAGGTTCTTTAAAACTCATCTTACCTGAAAACTACCCTGTAAGAGTATAGGGCACCTAAAGCGTGTGTAAGGCATTTTAACTAGCATAGTGTGCCGTTTTATTAACTGAGTACTTAGAAATAAAGTAAGATACAGGTGGAGTTTGCAGGCAGCACAGGCTGATAGACTGGCAAATGAAAATGTGCAAGATCATAGTATTGCCAGGCAGAAGAATTAAGAGATTCCAACCTGAAAAGGATTTAAATCATTGGGCAAGCAGTGTCCAGTGACTGTGTGTCTCAGTGCTGAAGAATGTCAAAACAGCTGTGTGTGTATTTAACAGAGAAGTTGGGAAGGAATTTCTCTTCTGTAAAAGCAGTTGGTTGGAGCAATGCTGGGATACTGTGTCTAGTTTTGGCTTCTGCCTTTGAAAAGATGGGCACAAAGCTGATTGAAAATTGAAGGAGGCTGCAGCATCCGTGGTTCTCACTGTATCGTTTGGTAATTGTGGACCAGTTTGCATTTGCCATTTGCAAATCCCTGTATGAATAACACAGCAGCTTTAGAGTGATCATCTCGGGTTACAGAGGACACGCCTTACTGCAGGAGGTGTATCAGTATACAATGCTAATAAACTCTTTTGGTACCAATCCAGCTGTAAAGGCACAACTGTCATTGCGCTCGGATGATGAAGTTGTATTTGCCACCTAAATCAAGATCGGATGTGCTTAAACATTAGCAATGCTGCTGCCACAAGGCTGTGGGAGAAACCTTTTCCTTGCTCCCCTACTAAACAGCTTTGCTGGCAGGAGCCTGTAAGGCAGGCACAGCCTCAGATAGATTTTCCAGAACGGCAAACAGCCTCAGATAGATTTTCCAGAACCTGACAGCGGGTGAGAAAGAAATAAGTCATCCTTCCAGTGCTTGAGCACCTGAACTTTTAAGATTTGGAGACTCTTCTTAATGCTGGCTGTTCTGGGGCTGCTCTATCAGAAACCTTTGCTGTGAGCAGTCAAGATTTATTAATGGGTGGGAGAGAGGCATAACCCTGTAGTCTGGTGATTAAGGTTTTCAGCTGGGTAGGAGGTGAATCTTGTGCTATGTCCTTGCTAAACGTGTCACATGGACATTTGACCTGAAAACTGTGCTTCATTCCTCCCACCCTTCTTGTCTTTTAGCCCTAAGCCCAGTAACTGAACAGGTTCATCAAGGAAGTGTACCTGGAAGGGCAGAAGAGCTTCATTCGGGTTCTGCACAAGCACAAGACAGTGGGACCATATCACTTTATTTTCACACTTTCACTTTGATTGTTGTCTATTAGGAAATGTGTTTTAACCTGTAATACCTAGATTATAGTCCATTTTAGTAAAATATAAATTGTGCTGCACAGTAGTTTCATTTTGAAGACACCACTGCAGAACAGGCTTGTGGACAGCAGCTTGATTAACACTGAGTAAATGACACTTCTCAGAAAAATGGTACATGTGGATACCTGATACTGGGATGGGTGGCACTGGGACGGAACTGAGGTGATGGTGGCAGCTTTTCCCAGTCAGTAGAATGCTTCCCGGAGAGATGGGAGACCTTGGGTCAAAGACCTTCTTCACATCAGTATGGCAGCAATTTGAATCCACTTCAGTGTGCCATAGTAATGGTGGGTAATGAAAGCTGCTCCTGCCCTTCAGTGTGAGAGGAGAGGTGTGCTGAAGGGATACATCCTCTGTGGGATCCAGGTTTGGTTTCTGCTGACTCATAAAATAGGATCACACATACTGTGGAAATGCTAAGAAGAAATGTACCGTCTGTTGGGAGTTCACAGGAGGAAACTCTTGTACCATGAGATCTTGGGATCTTTCAACTTGAATTGCAGCTTGGAGAAGCCATGAGAGACACCCTTGAAATCCAGGTAGCAAAGGCAGGGACTTGGTGCCAGTGAAGGGGCAGCCATGCAGTAGAGCTCTGCAGTTTTCTGATGTTTAGGAGCCCATCACCTGGGCAAATTTATATCCTGAGAGGTGAAGTGAGAATTATGAGGGGGAAAAAAAATGGTGAAGAGGGAAAAGGAGGCATCACCTTGCAGTATTTGATCCCAGGGAGTTCCACTGTGGTGTTAAGATTTAGAGGAAGAACATCTGCAGTCAGCAAACCTCGCTTTAGGGGGACGGTCTGCTGTGTTTATACAACAAAGGGAAACATCAGATTTGGGAGCATCTAATGAAGTGCTGAACCATTTTTGTGTTAATGAGAGCTAATAAAAATTTGAATAGTCTCACAAATAAACAATTTTTTCACTGCTTTTTATCTAGCATGCTGAAAAACTTTTCCAATTGCCTGCAGGAACTTCTAGGAAAAGGATAGATGAGCCACCCTTCAGGTATGGGAAGCATTTACATAAGACCTGTTAATGCTTATCTTGCAGCCAATCTTTATCATCAACAACAAGACAGAGCAGAAACCCTTATTTCCGCATGCAGGTTGCTGTAAAATTAATATGAAAATTATATCATCTGCATAAATAGCTGCATGGACTTTACTCATAAGACCTATTCTGTGTTAAGCTGTTAAGCTGTAGCACTGCCAAGAGAGGGAATAGTAACAAACCTCCACCCCTGCACCAGCCAATCCCACCAGCTAGGTGGGTGAGGACTCTGCATGGCAGGACACAAAAACTCTAGCACTTGGGGTCTTCCCTCAGCACTGCTTTTGGGTGGGGACAAATAATAACAGTTTTGTCTATTTGCTTTTCAATATGGATGCCTGTTTGCATTGGTTAGGTGTTTATATACTATAAATATAAATGTATTTAGGATGGGTAAAAACAAACCTTGTTCCACTGGCTTGGGTATTGAGACTGGTCCAGAGCCCCAAAACCATGGTCTGGGCTTAGGCTGAAACACACCTCGTGTAACTTCACCTCTGCTCTCTTTCCCACCCAAACCTCTCCCTCAAGCTGAACCCTTTGCTGAGACTGTTCAGTTTGCTAACTTAGTGTAAAGCTTCTTTCCTGGGCTGCTGGGTTGAAACACGGAAGTTTGAGCTCTGCAGCCTGTGTGAGATGATTGGGAGGCAATGGCAGGATGAAGGTCTTCCCATTTTTGGCAACCAGAGGCTGTGGGATCAGCTGAACTGTCCTGGGTAACAGCCACAAGTCATCTCTTGCGAGAGCACATTCACACTCTTCCTTCCCTAAATTAAATGCATTTCACTGAAATAGGTAAGTGGTGCTTGGAGCAGGGACTGGAATTTGAGGTGCCCTCTTTCCCCAGCTCTGCAAGTCAGCAAAAAGGTCTTGGTTTCTGACAATACCCAAAGTCTCTCCATGATTGCTCATCTCTTAACAGAATAAATCTTTGGCAGAGCAGTTATGACAATATGGACTTTGAAGTAATAGCTTGGAGGAGGACTTTTCTGTTTACCTCCCTGCTGTGTTCTTGAGCTCTGCAGTTTGGCTAGTTCTCACATAGGCAAGCCAGGAGGGCATAAGGTAAGATCTTCGCACTGTCTGCAGCTCAGCCACCATGTGTGGAGATGAGCTCAGCAGAGTTCAGAAAAGATTGACAAAAACAAGAAACGGATTTAAGAAGTATTGATAAAAACAAGGCCGGTTTTGACATACCTTGTCTTGCTTATTTCTCTAAACCACCAGTGCTACAGAGCAGAACTATGACGCTGTGTGAACAGATACTGCTGTATCAGCACAGGCAGTTTCTACAATGGATGGGTGTTTGGGAAAAGAGAGATATCTGAAATGTATTATGAACATTCTCTGAAGGTTATTTTATGTGCCTGACGTTACACTCCCTGTCAGGAACAAGAAAAGAAGGAGGGAAGGAAACAATAGAGAGGAAATAGCTTTGGGGTCGTTTAACAAAAGGTGCAGGGAAATGCTTCCCTGCCCTCCCGCAAAGCCAGGTTAATAAAGGCCAAACCCTAAAATCAAAGGAACACTAAACCACCAAGTATTTTGCTTAAAACCACCAAGTAATTTGCAGCTGCTGGGGGACACTGAATGAAACCACAGCAGATGAGTGGAACTTGCCATAAAAGTGCAAAGAGAAAATGAGGGCTTCGATAAAAGCCACTTTTATGCTCCTTTTACCCAACAGTTTTTGTTAGGTATTTTGGCATAAATACTTTTGTGCTGAGTTGCAAGTCAGCCAGGTTCTTAAAGTGCAGCTTTCTTACAAGTGCAGCTGGACCTTTTTGTGTCAGTGAAGGTAGAGAAGAGGGAGATGGTAGCCTAGTGATTCAGATGAGGTACTGAACTGTGGGGCTGCACCCCCAAGATGAGTGAGAGAAGCCAAGGCTATCTTCGCAGGATTGTGCTTCAGAGGAAGTGCACTGGTGTCTGAAAATTATCTGACCGTGCACAGAGTAAAAATCGAGTGCTTTGCTCCCTAAATGCAATCACTGAGGAGAAGCGAGCAGGTTCCTGGGTCATTGAGATAACACTTCCCTCTTCTGAGAGGGGGAAGTAGGCTCTGGTAAAATTGTTTCTTTCATCTTTCCTAAAACTTAATCTAGAGTGGCACAGTCCAACCTAGGGGTTGCTGCAATTCAACTTTTTAAGAGAAAAATCTTTTCATTAAGAGACAATCTGAGAGAGCTACATGTCTAGAAAGGGCTTGTGGCAGAGGACATATCTCTTGATCATCACCTAGTCAATTCCTAGGGGCATCTAGGAATTGTTTTGTCTTCAGTTAAAGTATGAACTGTTCAGATTCATCTTCTCCATGGAGAAATACACAGCTACTCATCCCTCCTTGGCACAATTCTGTCAGGCATGTAGGATGGGGTGGAAGGGAACAGCCCGAGGCAGGCTGTAATCTCATCAATGCATCTGGGCCTGAAAGTGGGGCATGTTCTGACCAAAGCAGCTGCTGTTCAGCCGCCAGAGGAGGCCAAAGCAAAAGAGCCAGAGCTGTGGTTTTTCCAGCAGTCTGCCTTCCTGGTGGGTGTTAGTGTGTCGGGACAGGTCAGAACTGCAGGCAAAGTCTGTCCTTGAAAAGTCTTTCAGGGTGATTTGTGGTGTCGATAGGAGCCAGATGTGCCTGAGGCAAGAAGCTTCGATAGGAGAGTACCCTGCATGGATGTGTTTATCCATGCTTCTTCTAGCTGGGGAAGCAGCAGGGAGTGTGTGTATATTCAGCGGTACTTCTGCTCCCCCTTTCACATTCCCTGTCTTCCAGGAGTCTCTGAATTCCCCCAGAGGAAGGGAGACAGTTGGTAGCCTTAATCGCTGTGCGTGCAGAGGCAGCGTGCTCTTGTCTGAGTGCTGCCAGGAGTCACCTTCTGCCATTGTTCAAACCCAGCTGGAAGAGATGCCCTGAGAGCAAGGGAAAATAAGCAAAGCCATGTCAGCACAGGTATCCTTCCCCTCCTCGAGCAGCCGGCTCCACATGCTGCCTGGAACACTTAACAGCATGCTCTTTCCATGGCAAGCATCCAGACTGCAGCTCGTTGCAGAATCCCTGGTTAATTTGGAATCTCTGGCAATGGAACAGGAGGATGTGGCTGCAAGAACTTGCTGCCTCGTGCTTTCCTGGGGAGGGAGCAGGCTGACTCCTCTAAAACAGGCAGGACTCAATTCTCTGTCAAACCATGGCAGGTTCATGGTGCTAGCGCCAAAAAGAGTAGGAGGCCAGAAGTG